TCTCTTTTAAATACAGATTATAAGATTTTTGCAAAGATACTGGCAAATAGATTAATGCAGGTTTTGAAACAATTGATTCATACTGACCAATCTGGATTTATAATGGGAAGATATATGAAATATAATGTAAGACAAATTGTTAACTTATTAGAGTATTTGGATAAGAACAACCAAATCCCTGCTGCTTTAATATTTATAGATGCTGAGAAAGCTTTTGATCAATTAGATTGGACATTTTTATTGAAAGTCGTAGAGGAAATGAACTTTGGAGACAAATTTTTGTGTGCTCTCAAGGCCATATATCAGCAACAATCGGCACAAATTATAATTAATGGGGGATTAACAGATGTATTTAAAATAGAAAAAGGTACGAGACAGGGTTGTCCCTTATCCCCCTTGTTATTTGTATTAACAGTGAAGATTTTACTTATTAAAATTCGAGATTCATCTAGATTAAAAGGAATAAAAATAAGTAAGATTGATTATAGGCTGAGAGCTTTTGCTGATGATTTGGTTGTGACGTTATCCCACCCAACAGATTCGGTCAGAGACTTGGTTGAAATTTTAGCGCAGTATGGACAGGTCTCTGGTTTTAAGGTGAACAAGAACAAAACTAAAATATTATTGAAAAATATGTCTATGAAGGGAAAAGATATTATAGCTGAAGCAACAGGTTATGAAGTAGTTAATAAGGTTAAGTATTTAGGAGTATATATCACAACATCTAATGGAAAATTGTATAAGAATAATTATGAACACTTATGGGTAAAAGTACAAAAAGATTTAAATGATTGGCAAAAATTACAACTATCGTTGCTGGGGAGAATCTCAGTAGTAAAGATGAATGTTCTACCAAAGTTTCTTTTTTTGTTTCAGATGATACCTATCTTAAAAAAGGATGCTAATTTGGATGAGTGGCAGAAGGGTATCAATAAATTTATCTGGGGTGGGAAGAAATCAAGGGTAAAGTTTAAGATTTTGCAAGACACTCGAGAAAAAGGTGGACTTAAAGCACCTAATTTGAAATTATATTATGATGGGTTGGAGGTTAAATAGGTCAGATAAGTAGAAATAGGGTTTTTTTGTATATAATATTGATATTTTAATTTGGAGAGAGGAATTGCTCGGGCATTTCCCCTGGACTGCATCCGGAGTGAGAAGAGAGGAGGAAGGGGAGAAGTAAGGAGGAAGGTTGAGGAGAAGGAGGAGAGGGGGAGAGTGAGGAAGAAGAGGGAAAGAGGGAAGTGAGAGAAGAGGTTAGAGGGTGGATGCGGTTTGGGGGGAAATGGGTGAGCAATACTGAAAGTTGTGTGTATAAATTTACGTTATTCTTTATCTGAAGTACTCTTTATGAATGTAATGAAAAATTGAAAATAAAAAAATCTTTTACAAAAAAAAAAAGTATATATGGAAAAAATCTATGTCTTTGAAGCCTGGAAAAATGTCCCAAAATAGTTTACAGTCAAAGCTTCTGAGCTAATTTTAGAGATGTGGTGGCTTTAACTGATGGATAACAGAATAATAGAGTTGGAAGGGACCTTGAAGGAAGAACGAAGAATGTTAATGGTGGAAATGACAATGAATAAAAAAAAAAGATGTTGCTAGTAGCAATACATGCACCAAACAATAAACAAGAAATATTTTATCAAAAACTACACAGAAAAATATTGCAAATGGAATATCAAAATATTTGTTTAGTAGGAGGTTTTAACGCAATTGTGAATGAAAAATTAGATTACAAAAGTAGTAAAATGGGGGGAAAAGGAAGAAAGAGATTATGTAACGTGTTTGTTAAAATGACAGAAGAAATCTGCGTATAGAATGTCTGGAGAGAAATAAACCCCAAAAAGACTTGCTATACATTTTATTCAAATAGACACAAATCATGGTCTAGAATTGATATGATATGGATGTCCCCTAAATTAAGAACTAATATACATGAGATTGAGATAGAACCCAATATTTGGGCTGACCATAATCCAATAAAGCTGAGTTGGACAAGAGTAAAGAAGAAATCAAGGTGGACATTGAATCAACTCTTATTAAAGGAGAAAGAATTTCAGAAATAGCAGTAAAGGAAATGGAATTCTTTTTCAAAGAAAATAAAAAAGAAGACACTTCTCTCCAGTACATATGAGATACAGCCAAAGCACACTTCAGAGGATTAGTTATAATTTATACGGCTGAAAAGAATAAAGAGAAAAAGCAACAGTGTACAACGCAAAGGGAAAAGTTTAAAAAAATTGAAGCTAGAACTTCAAAAAGATCCACAAAAAAACTCTTAAAAGACAAATGGAGATAATTAAACATAAACTAATCCTAATAACAATCAGAAGAGTTGGCTCAACAAATCAGAAGAGGAAAACAATTTTTTTCGAAAATGCAAATAAACTGGGAAGATAGCTGGTTTATAAATTGGAAAAAGAAAGAGAGAAAAAGTTGATAAACAAATTACAACATAAGAAGGGAGATGTGCAAATCCAAAATAAGGCAATAAAAAATAGTTAAAGCATATTATGAAAAACTATATGACGTAGAAAAAAAAATCTCTGGAAAAAAACAACATAAAATATGGAAAAAGCCAATGTACCAAAAATTCCAGAAAACATTAAAAACATGCTAAACGAAAAAATAACGATGGAACTGATGGAAGCTATAAAAAGACAAAAAAAAAACAACAACATTGGAGACAACCCCTAAACTAGGGGTGTCAAACTGCCAGCCTGCAGGCCGGACGCGTCACCCAAAAGCTGTACCCGCCCCATTGCCGGCAATAGCTAAACAATCCCGATACATCGCGCAACGTAACGTAACGTCGCGAGTTTGATATGTCTGTCCTAAACTATTGAAAAGGATTTAGTTATTTGGAGAAGTAGCAGGATTGAAGATAAATAGAGAAAAAACAAACGTTATAGTTAAAAACCTTACATCTAAGCAAAAAGTACAATTGTCAAAAAAATTGGATTTTAAAATAGTTAGGAAAGTTATATATTTGGGAATATACCTAACAGCAAGATGTGCAATGATAAAAGATAACTACATAACATTACTTAATCAAATAAAATTAGATCTAGAAAAATGGAAAAACTTACAACTATCAGCGTTAGGAAGAATAGCTACTGTGAGAATGAAGAGTTTACCAAAACTGCTTTTCTTGTTCCAAACAGCATCTATAAAAATAGAGAAGAATTTTTTTGATGATTTAAATACTTTGATTTTGAAATTTATTTGGCAAGAAAGGAAGGCCAGAATTAAACTGAAAATGCTACAAGAATCCAAGAACATAATCTGCAATGTGGATGGCATGCATTTCTATGGTATGAGAATAAGATTCATAGATAGTTTCAAAATCATTATATAAGAAATAAACTACTTCTTGTGTACAAAAAGATAAATGTTAAAATCTACTTAAGAATCCCAGGATTGCTTTCAACGTTTGTTCACCCAAATCAAGTAAAATATGAAAAAAATGGACGTATAAAGATATTTTGGATACCGAAGGGAAATTAAAATCTAAACCAGAGGCTGTACACCAGGGTACTGAATTATCATGGTGGCCTCAGTTACAAATGCAATCAAGTATGAAAAAGATGCGAAAATATATGGTTTTTATAAAAAACAATGTTTGATCAGATGCTGTTGACCTCTGATAAAAAACTGTGTAAGAAACTATAAACCTTTCTATTAAATTCAAAAATGGAGGATGAACAAGTGAAAGAAACAATGATACGATGGGCAGAAAACTTTGGATATAATATAGAATTAGAGAAATGGCAAAAACTTTGGGAAAGAAATTATAAATTGATCATGGCAACTTTTTATAAAGAAAACTGATATAAAATGTTCTATAGATGGCATTTACCATGCTAGATTAGCAAAAATGTTTAAAAATATGTCCAGTAAATGTTGGAAATGTAATCAAACACGTGGCTTGTATTATCATACGTGGTGGCCTTGTGTTGAAGAAAAACAAAACGGGCCAAAAGACACTTGGTTAGAAAAGATGATAGGGAAACACGTAGATTTTAAACCTGCACTCTTTTTATTAGGTATAATATAAGAAAAATTTAATAAGCCAAGTGTATATTTAACATTGCATGTATTAACAGCAGCAGGGATTGTATTTGCTCAGCACTGGAAGAATAAAGAAACCCCACTAGACAAAGAGATAATTAAGAAGAGATTGGACTGTGCTGAAATGGACAGAGTTACATTGAGGATCAAAGAGAAAGAAGATACAGAATATTTTGAAACATGGAATTTATTTAATCAATGGGTGGAGAAAAGGGGTAGACACTAAGAATGTAACTTGTATTATTAAGCAAACAAATTGGACCAGACAACATGATGTTTCTTAAGCACTAGTCAAATGTGATAATAGAAAATTAATTTTCAAAAGTTGTAAAAAAAAATAATAATAAGAGAGTTGGAAGGGACCTTGGAGGTCTTCTAGTCCAACCCCCTGCTCAGGCAGAGGACCCTATTACTATTCCTGAAAATGGCTGTCCGGTCTCCTCTTAAAAACCTCCAGTGACGGAGTACCCACAACCTCTGGAGGGAAGCCATTCCCAAAGAATCAACCTTCCCTTGAAGGAGACTTTTTAAATCTTCCCATCAGCATAAAATCGCAGCCCCCAGTTTAACAGCCTGCAGCACCAGTGGACTTAAAAATTGGGGAGGGAAGTAAAATGCAGCGGCGGCAGCTGAGATGCTTCAGCCTAGTTGCTTCTCTGCTTGGACTCAGTGGAGGAAACCAAACAGCCCCGCTTGCTCCCGGCTTCTCCTCCGACCTTCCCTCCACTCACCTCCCACCTTCTGCTTCTACCCTTGAAAGAGCAGAAAAGCCCCTTTGCACACCAACCTCCTCCCATGAGTGATCCGGAAGAGGAAGTTCTGATGTTCAAAAGGTCCTTTTTCAAGAGGCAACTGAGCTTTCTTTCTTCTACACTTCCCGTCTCCTCTCCTTTCTAGCAATATAGTACTCGATGGTTTTAAATTCCTCTAAAGTCAACCAAAGATTCCGCCTTCTGTATTGTCCGCTTTCTAGGCACAGATGTTGCCTGTTTGACTCCGGATAGGTGGCGAAAAACACGGTTGTCTGGCGTTTGCACGATTTCCTCCTTGATTAAAAGCTAACAGGTAATTTTTGACTCCTAACAACTAACCTCTGCAACTGAGCCAAGTGAAATAGTGAAATGTGATGCTGGTTAGCTTATGAAGATTAGCTACGTGCTGAGTCCTAAAAGTTCATGACGGTTTTACAGAATTACAGTTTTTTTATGGGTGACTCTCAGTGGCGATCAAAACCTCTCTACACCCGAAATCTTTATGACTTATTTAATGTGGCTCCCAAGGTTTTAGGACATAGCAGCAACATCAGGCCAGATGTACCAGGGGAGCCAACCTCCCTCTTGCTGGCCAGGGCTGCATCCAAGGGCATCCAGCATGCCAGCTTCGTTCCTGAAGGAGGAGAATGTAGATATGCTAAATGCTAAATGCCATGTACTTCTGTAAATTTGCTTGAGGGGAAGTCTCCATTAGGTCACACAGAGAGGAAAAAAAATGCAGCAGGTCCTGAAAATAGGGCGCTAAGAAAGGGGGGAAAATTGTGAACATACGGTAGAGGAAATATTTCAAAAATACATTTTTAAAAAGAAAACAAAAGGGAAGAATAGAATATTCCACCAAAGCACATGGCCAACTGATGACCAGGCTAACCTTTTTAGAGGGACACCCTGCACTGCCGTTTTTTAATGTACATCTCGTAGGTTTTGGATGGGGATAGTGGCCATTTCGGCTATTGCATCTGAGCTCTGTTGCATGGAGGAATCTGGAATAAAAGAACTGCAAGGTATATTTTATTGATTCCCTTTTTATTCAGTAACTCAAGATGGCATACAAAGCACTGCCTGTGTAGCGTGCTGTAATTTACAAGGTAGGCCAGACAACCTACCTACCTACCTACAATGTGATCCACTAGAAAAAAATTGTAACCAGTCCTCTGAATTGTGTTAGTGAAATGAACAAATGTACAATTCTTTGGTTTCTTCTAAATTCAGGATCATTCATCTGCAGACCTTAAATATCATTTCATTGCTCCAAATATTGTTTCTCTCTTTTCTTGTAGGCATTCCTTGGAAAACCTTAAAGAAAATTTGACTTTTAGAATAGAATAGAGCTGGAAGGGACCTTGGAGGTCTTCTAGTCCATCCCCCTGCTCAAGTAGGAGAACCTATACCATTTCAGACAAGTGACTGTCTAGTCCAGGGGTCGGCAACCTAAAACGGTGAAAGAGCCACTTGGACCCGTTTCCCTCACACACACAAAAAAAAAACACAAAAAACTGGGAGCCGCAAAATGTGCACATATGCGTGCGCATGCACACACACGTAACGGGGTCCGGAGGATTCCCTCCTGCTTTCTCTCCTGCCCGCCCAGGTGGAGAGCCTGCGCCTCCTCTTCTCCTGAGGCCGGGGAAGGAGGGCCGGCCCTGGGCCTGTCCTGGAGGACTTTTTAGGCCCCGGATACCCCCCCCACCCTCTCCTCCGTCTGCTGGCACTGCAGCTCTGCAGCAAGAGGGAACCCTCAGGACCTTTGGTTTTCCTGGTTTGCCAACAAGGCTTGCAAACTCAGCTCCTGCCAGGGAAGCAGCACCTTTTGGGACGGACTCTGAGCAATTGCATGCTTCAGGGAAGGAGCACAGAGGCCTGCAAGCAAACAGGCAGGCAGGCAGGCAGACGCTGGGCAGCATGAATCAAGCGGCGAGCAAAACCCCGAAACCTTTTGCGTTTGTTTGCAAAGAAGCAGTGAAAGCCGGTCCAGCTGGTCGTCGGGGTGCGGAACCGGGCCACGGGGGCCAAGCCTTACTCACCGGCAATGCTGAAGCTTCCCACACCAACCGGTAGGTATTCCGTGCTGCTCTGCTTGGACCGCCGGCTTCTTGCTACAGGGCTGTCTCCCTCCAGAGCTGTCTTCCCCCCCTCCCATCTATGTCGAGCCCATGGCGAACAGCGTCCCACAAACCAAAGAAGTTGAACCAATCAATTCAAACTTTTCTCGTGAGAAGTTTGAATAGATTGGTTCAACTTTTTTAATCCTTTTTTTTGGCACTGCACGTGGCTGGGAGCCGCAGGAGACGGCTGAAAGAGCCGCATGCAGCTCTGGAGCCGCGGGTTGCCGACCCGTGGTCTAGTCTCTTAAAAATCTCCAGTGATGGAGTGCGCATGATTTCTGGAGGCAAGCTGTTCTACTGGTTGATTGCCCTGGGGGAGGGGGAGGGAAATGACTGGGGGACCCTGTGGAGGAGGGAAGGCCCGAGGAGACACAAAGGATGGGAAACAGAGCACAGAGTGTCTTGGAGGGTTGGGGAGGCCTAGGATGCCTCAGGTAGGCAAGCCTGGGCCTGGGCTAGGCCTCCAAGAGTTTTCCCCAATCCTGAGGTAGCCACTATTCCCCTTAGTGACTCGCACATTCGATTAATGGCTGCATCAGGGACATCAGGCTAGTTAAGGATTGCATTAGCTGGTTTGTTTTTTTGGCAGCTGAAGCAGTCCTGTCTTATACTTGTCCATTGGACATCTAGATTCCTTTGTTGACCCAGGTATTACCTATTTTATCCCTGTGCATTTGTTTTTTGCTGCCTAAGTGCAGACATTACTTTCCTCATCATTGAACAATACTTTGTTGGATAGATCCCAATGCTCTGTCAGAATCCCTTTGGATCTTGAGCCTGTCTATTTATAAGAGGTCGAACTGTAGTGGGCCCAAGACCAAACCTTGAGGTACCCGAGTGCATGCTTCTGTCCATGTAGATGTAATTCCATTGATGAAAACCCCGAGTGTGGTTGGTCAGTCAATTGCGAATCCACCTAGGGCTGGTTCTGTCTATCCCATGTTGTTCTATCTTACCAAAAAGTTAACTTGTGCTCTACCTTGTCAAATGTCTTGCTGACGTCCAAGTATACTATCTCCAAAACATTTCACAAATCCACTAATTAAGTTACTTCATAAAAAATGACAATAATGTTTGTCTGGCATCACATTCTTAACAAACCCATTCTGGCTTGTTATAGCTGCCCATCATTTCTGTTTCTCCAGAAGCATTAGTGGAAACAGAAGTTTACTTTAATTAAATAACTTGTGAAATTCTCAGCCTTTTAAAAGAAGAAATAAAATCAGGGGGGGACAGGACTAAGCTGGGGGAAAAGGGTATTTCCAAAGGCTTTTATACGAAAATAGTTGGGGAACAGAAAAGGTAAGGTAAGGTCTCACTCAACTCCTCCAGTTGCTTTCATTGTGTTTGGTAATGCTTTGGGCTTTTGGCTGGTGTGACTTGATGAGCGCTTTTTTTTCCCTTGGTCCTGAGGATCAAACAGAGAGGCTGCGGCCCCTCCACGATTTACCGTAGTTCCTCCCCAATGGAGGTCACCCCTCCAGAGCGACTTTCAACCATTTACAGGGTCTTCTGAAGAAAGAAAACCGGACGGCGGGGAGAACAGTCTATCTGCACACCCACTAACGCCGGGATCCGGAACAGGAAGCCAATTCTTTGATTTTCAAAGGCTACAAATCGACTGGCAAAACAAATGGCTGTATTAGAGGGAAACCATAGCTTAATTGTCCGGTTTGAAATGTCCTAATTTCCCTCTGTCAGACTGGCTGTGATGGAGAAGACAATCGCTGAATCTGAGAAGGATGCCAATCAAAACATATCCAGTTAGTCGTTCTAATTTTTAAACTGTGCCTAATGAATTGCTGTACTTTCATAGAATTTAGGACTAGGGCAGATAGCAATGCAACAATAAATTAAGAGGCAGAAGCCTAACTGCAGCTCATGTCATCAGAGGCAGAGAGTGGTGGGACTGATGTACGATTGAAACTGAATTTTTAAATTTATAAATGAGGAGGGAAGGGAAGCTGAGTAAAACAGATTACTGTTTTACAATAATGGAGATTGCACAAGAGACAGATTACAAGTTAACAATTGTATGTTAGAAACCCACCATATGTATCACTGAGGAAGAGTTGGGTAATGAGCTTTACATTATCTTTTTATTATTAAATTCATTCATTATTAAACTTAATCACTGCCCATCTCGCCATCTGAGGCAACTCTGAGCGACTTCCCTTGACCCAATGTCCATAGTAACACTGAAAATACCCATTTTTCTCTCTTATCAACAATGAAACATTTTCAACTGTACATTTTTCCCCTCATGTTAGGTAGCAAAACAGAGAGGTTTGTCTCTCTTCTGCATGACAGTATGGCCAAATGGCAGCCGCTTCCACAAGTCCACCGCATGGCCCAGGGACGAAGCCAGGCCCCACTGAAAGTAACGGCTGCTTCCAGGACACAATCCCAAGAGCCAGGGATGCACACCCTCCCCTTTATCCCCAACATGAGGATAAGAAATCTTAGAAAGAAAGAGGAGGGTGTGAGGCGTGCAGGGATCCAGTAGGAGGGAGAAAAAGCCTGTGGAGACCCTGGGGTGGGAAAGAACTGGGAGGCACAAGAGTTGGGAAATAGAGCACAGGGTGAGGGAGGCCTAGAAATGCCTACAACAGTCAAACCTGGGCCTGCACTAGGCCTCCAAGAGTTTTCCCCAACCCTGAGGTAGCCAGTGTTCCAGTTAGTGACTGACACAATTAATGGCTGCATCAGAGAGATCAGGGTAGTTTAGGAAAGAAGTCTCACTTAATGGCCGTTGCAACAGGTAACCATAACTGCAAGGCCCATGACAGTTATAACTTGAGGACCTTTTCTACGCTGGCTGAGGAATTCTGGGCTTCAAACTCTGCAGGAAACCAAGGTGGAAGACCTGAAACTCCACATGTGGGAATTATATAATCAGTGTATAAAAAAAAAACACCCAGAAGCCTTTTTGAGGAAATCCACAACTTCTACAAAAGGAAATATCTAGTAGCTGATGCTGCTAACCGGAAATTGGTAGTTAGCCCTTTTTCATTTTCTTTTTCTCTCCACCTACAAGTCTAATCCTGAGACAAGTTTCAGTAAAAAGATTCAGACCACAATTCAAATAGTCAATTTCTCAACTACAGTTTCAATGGGAGATCACAAATGAACTTGAAGCCTTTTCTAAACTCTTCAACTTTTGCCTCATGTGGATTTCCTTGTGTGCAATAAGGGATGATTTATGAGTGAAGTAATGTCCACAGACTGGACATTTGAAAGATTTTTCCCCGCATGAGTCCTCCGGTGTTTCACAAGGCTGGAATTCCAACTGAAACGTTTCCCACAGATAGTACATTCAAAGGGTTTCTCTCCTGTGTGAGTCCTCTGGTGTTTCACAAGGCTGGAATTCCAACTGAAACGTTTCCCACAGATAGCACATTCAAAGGGTTTCTCTCCTGTGTGAGTCCTCTGGTGCATCACCAGGCAAGAATTGCGAATGAAATTTTTCTCACAGAGAGCACATTCAAAGGGTTTCTCTCCTGTGTGAATCTTCTGGTGCATCACAAGGGTGGAATAATCACTGAAACTTTTACCACAATCAGGACATTCAAAGGGTTTCTCTCCTGTGTGAGTCCTCTGGTGTTTCACAAGGCTGGAATTCCGGCTGAAACTTTTCCCACATTCAGGACATTCGAAGGGTTTCTCTCCTGTGTGAGTCCTCTGGTGTATCACAAGGCTGGAACTATCACTGAAATTTTTCCCACAATCAGGACATTCAAAGGGTTTCTCTCCTGTGTGAGTCCTCTGGTGTTTCACAAGGCTGGAATTCTGGCTGAAACCTTTCCCACAATCAGGACATTCAAAGGGCTTCTCTCCTGTGTGAGTCCTCTGGTGTATCACAATGCTGGACTTATCCCTGAAACTTTTCCCACAATCACGACAGTCAAAGGGTTTTTCTCCTGTGTGAGTCCTCTGGTGTATCACAAGGCTGGAACTATCACTGAAATTTTTCCCACAATCAGGACATTCAAAGGGTTTCTCTCCTGTGTGAGTCCTCTGGTGTTTCACAAGGCTGGAATTCTGGCTGAAACCTTTCCCACAATCAGGACATTCAAAGGGCTTCTCTCCTGTGTGAGTCCTCTGGTGTATCACAATGCTGGACTTATCCCTGAAACTTTTCCCACATTCAGGACATTCAAAGGGTTTTTCTCCTGTGTGAGTCCTCTGGTGTGTCACCAGTTGGGAATTCCGACTGAAACCTTTCCCACATTCAGGACATTCAAAGGGTTTTTCTCCTGTGTGAGTCCTCTGGTGTGCCACCAGGTGGGAATTGTAACCGAAACTTTTCCCACAATCAGGACATTCAAAGGGTTTCTCTCCTGTGTGAGTCCTCTGGTGTCTCATGACATGGGAATTTCTAATGAAACTCACACAATCAGTCCAGTCATATGTTTTCTTCCTGCTTTGAATCTTCTGATGTATCACCACGTTGACATGCTCACTAAAGCATTTACTGCACTAGGAGTGCTTTTATGGCTTTTCTCTTGTGTGGACCTTCCATGAACCACAAGGGAACTGTTCTGACTAAAGTTTTGCTACAATCAGATGATTTGTATGGCTTTTCTGCTGTGTGGCTCCTCTTGTGCATAATCAGTTATGATTTGCAATCTATCCTTTTCTAACAATAGACACAAGTACGGAGCTTTTCCACAGCTGATATTCTTGAGGAAGTCAAAAGTATGGATAATCATTTATTTAGTGGTGCTTTTATTCAAGTCGTTCTCTTCCTCACAGTGTGAGGCCTGTATGATTCTCTGCTCTACTCACCTTTTCCTCCAACTGACTTCCAGATATTTCACTCTTTTAATGAATGAAAAATAATCTCCCTTCACTTTTCATGTAAAGTATCCTTGAGTTCTAAATTTCCAGCTTGAAATCTTTCTTGATTTTCTCTCTTTTTTTCTAAGAGCTACTGGAGGAAGAGGAGA